CGGGCGCCTCCCCGGCCTGGCTGCAGGCCGAGGCGGCCACGCTGCCCAAGCCGCGGGCCTACGGGGCGAGCGAGCTCTACGGGCCCGGCCGGCCGCTCAGCCCGCGGCGCGCCTTCGAGGGCATCCGGCTGCGCTTCGAGAAGCAGCCGTCGGAGGAGGAGGAGTGGGCCGTGCCCACCAGCCCGCCCAGCCCCGAGGCGGGCACCATCCGCTGCGCCTCGTTCTGCGCGGGCTTTCCCATCCCCGAGTCGCCCGCCGCCGCCGCCTACGCCCACGCCGAGCACGCGCAGTCCTGGCCGTCCATCAACGTGAGTGGGGGCGCCCGCGGGGTTGGGCTCCGGCCGGTCGGTGCCCGAGTGACGGGCCTGCGTTTGATTCCGGGCCTCACCGCTTAGCCGCTGTGAGGCGTTGGACGAGTTACTTACCCTCTCTGATCCTCAGCTTTCTTACCTGCCAGATGAGGGCAGTGATTCTATGATCTAATTCCGTTAGAGGGTTCCTGAGAGGGAGGCAGGGAGCCTAAAGCCCTCTGCTGTGACTCTAGTGATGGAGGCCATGATGACCGCCACAGGTCTGGGGCCCACACGGGGTCGGGCCTGCTCACCCAAGTTCCCTCCATCTGGCCTCAGAGCCCCTGCCCTTTACCTGCTGTCCTAGAAGACAGCCTGTCTCGGGTTCTATCATTTCACTGAAATAATGAGTTTCCTGAATGTCAGAGCCAACACTTGCCGCCTGGAAGGACCAAAATATATTCCAAAGCTAGATAGAAAATTATTTTTGGGTTGTACATTGTTTGGGATTATCCATCGCTTTGAGTTATCTGCGAGCCGTGTCTTAGTCACTTTGGGGGCATGTCTGGGTCTTGGCTTCCCTCATTACTGCAGATGCCCTGGCAGGCTGAGCATACACACCTCCTGGGGTCGTAGGCCCTGGGTTGGGGGAGTGGATGCTGAGCTGGTGGAAGGTGGGCAGGGAGGGCGGAGGAGGAGGGATGGTGCTGGACAAAAGGTAACCAGGCCTTCTCTGCATGGTACAGTCTTCCTGGCCCTGGGTTTCAGGAAAGGGCAGGCTGGGCTGTGGGGACCACGAGGGAGGGTTGGGGACTGTAAGTGACTCCCCTCTCTCTCCACAGCTGCTGATGGAGACTGTGGGCTCAGATATCCGCAGCTGCCCCCTCTGCCAGCTCGGTTTCCCTGTTGGGTACCCAGATGATGCCCTCATCAAACACATTGACTCCCACCTGGAGAACAGCAAGATCTAGGGTGCGTCCCCCACCCATTGGCTGTTTGTCCATCTTCTCTCATCACCCCCAAACACTCACTCACTTTGAATGCTGCATGAATCTCGTGGGGGGCCCCTGCCCCTTGCGACCCCCAGATACCTCCACTAGCTACCGAGTCAACGTGTGTGCCGTCTTCCCTGGTCTAGGCACCACTCAGCCCTGGCTCTTCCTGGAAGGCCAGCCGAGGTTCTCCCCAGCTCCCTGGCTTCTGCTGGGGGTGGGTGGGGATCTGGGCTGGGATGGGGAGGGGCATACCCCACCCAGCCTCTCCCTTTGCCTTTCTGTTCTCAAGACAGGGTTGGATCCAAAAAGGTGTCTAGTGCTTGGGCCTGGGGGAGGGGGAGGGTATCAGAGGACTCTGGGAGCTCCCCTAGCCTCTCCCCAGATGTCCATTTTTCTCAGGCTCTGCTCTGTCCAGGGAGCACCTCCCTGTGGGGTCCCAGAGCCTGCCTTGCACACTGATACCAGTTCCTCCATCCCATGGCCAGCTTGGGGCTCTTGGCACGCCCCCCCTCCTTGGGGGAAGGAGGCATCTTGTTTCTTGCCATTCCCTGTAGGCCAGTCTTGTTCTCCTCCTCTGCCCCCCTGGGGAATAGGGAGGGTGGGAGTGGAGAGGGAGGACCCTACAGGACTGGGAGGATTCAGCCTAAAGAGGCTGCCCGGAGGGCAGGGGGTGTGGGGGTCACCCTGCACCATGACCCCCAGGCCAGGGGAGTATCTGTGCTAGCCTCCCAGGCCCCCGCATCCCCCTGGAGCCCCTGCACCAAGACGCAGATTTGTTAAGATAGATGCTCCCCTCCACCCTTACCCTACTCGAGTCCCTGACACCACAGGTGCCCTGGAGCCAGTGTGTGACTTGGCCTCGGTTAGCTGGGTGGGTGTCATCAGCCCTGCCTCCCAGGCCAGAACCTGCGGATGGGCCCAGGGTGCTGTTGGAGATCAACTTCAAAAGAGCTAACCCCCTTCCTGTACCCCAGCGACCCACATTCCCTCTGTGAAATCTACCTCAGAGTCGTACCCTCAGAAGGATGGGTAAGCAGGAGGCCAGGGGGTCCCCAGGGCTGAGGTGGGGAGCTTCCTACGGCAAGAGCCTGCTGCCCCACGATGAATCCAACCCCCCCCCCCCCACCCCCGCTCCCCACTGCGAGCCTCTCCCAGGTCTCAGCCCTGGGCTGGTGGCAGTGAGTGCTACCGTCAGTCAGTGCATGTACCATTCTGATCCAACACTTCCGGCCCCACCCCCGCCCCCCGCCTCGTCACGCCCCTCCCCTCCTCCTCAGCGCAGGGGAGTGAAGAGGTGTGTCAGGCAGGAAGGGACCAAGAACTCCAGAGACACATGGCATTGTATCTTGAGTGTTCCCTCCTGGGAGGGGAAATGGGAAAGGGGGCCTGGAGAGGGAGGTGGGGGCCCCTGAGCTCTCTGAACAAGTTGAAAGTCCAAATAAAACTTACCTGTTCCATCTGCTCTTGGTCTGTGCCCTCCCTGGCTGGGGCGGGGAGAAAAGCCTTGGTAGCAGGAGGTCTCTCAGACTCTCTCAAGGAACCACAACCACGGCAAGGCGGGCACTGGACAAGCAGGGGATGCATAGGGCGCCCGTGTTTTAGGGTGATTCTGGAGACGTGGGTATGCAAGTGGCCACAGATGACTTGTGACATGGAGTTTATTTAAAACAGATATCTTGGGCACCTGGGTGGCTCAGTCGTTGAGCGTCTGCCTTCAGGTCAAGTCATGATCTCAGGGTCTTGGGATCAAGCCCCGCTTCGGGCTCCCTGCTCAGCGGGGAGTCTGCCTCTCCCTCTACCCTTCCTCCCTGCTCATGATCTCTCTCTCTCTCACTCTCCCTCCCTCTCTCTCTATCTCAAATAAATAAAATCTTAAAAAAAAGATATCTTTTTTAAAGATTTTATTTATTTATTTCAGGCAGAGAGCTCGAGCAGGGGGAGGAGCAGAGGGAGAGGGAGAAGCAGACTCCTGGCTGAGCAGGGAGCCCAATGCGGGGCTCAATCCCAGGACTCTGGGACCATGACCTGAGCCGAAGGCAGCCGCTTCACCCCTTGAGCCCCCCAGGTGCCCCGGTAGAGGCTTTCTTTGTGACAAAGCAGCCAGCCCAGCCCTAAGCCAGTGTCAGGGACTGTTGAACTTCCCCTCCCAGCAGGTCCGGCAGGTAGAGGTTCCGAAGCCTTGGGGGTTCGGTAGCCCCTATGTCTTCCTGCGGTGATTTCAACATGCCAGGAACCAGGCTGGGCCTCAAAGAGGAGGAATCTCTGTTCCACGTCCTTATGGTTCTGAGAGCGGGGGGAGGGGCTGGGCTCCAGGCTCAGCAACTGCATTGAAAGCCCCACAACCTGAGAAGTCAAAGCCAGGTCGTGAACCTGTGACTTCTGCTCCAGTCAGGGCTGTGCCCTCTGTCTGCAGAAAAGGCCTGAGCTCTATTCACCAACTCTGGGTGCCTTTCGTTTCCACAGGACCCCTGTAGGCCAAGGATTCACTTAAAAGGCTGGGGCAATTGCTCATCGAAGGCTGAGGTTCAGCTCTAGATCCAGGGCAAACATTCCTCCCCATTCAGTGCCAAGGTTCAAACCCCAGTGGGGAGATGTCCCAGCTTTCCCTGCTCCTCTGTTGCAGTTACCAGCTACAGCTGGCTTCTAAAAGTTCTTCCTACCTTGATTCCACCTGCAGCCAAATCCTGAGTGCCAAGAAAGGTGAGAATAGCCATCCCTATGGGACATGGCTTCATAGACCATGGAAAAGAAGGTTCTGGAACTTTCTGGAACATGGGCACTCAGTGCACCCTGGTGCTCTTCCACCTCGGTCAGCTCCCATGGAAGAAGGCAGCACCCAGGTTTCTGGATCTCTGGAAGCATTTGCTAGCATTTGAATGAATTAGGGGTGGTACAAGGACATGAGGCAAAGAGAAATCCCAGTCGTTGAGAAAAAGGGCAAAGGATGACCTGGGAATGAACTATAGGCAGGGGCATGACCTGGGTAACCACTTCCGGTCCTTGGCATGTCTGAAGGTAAGAGGTAACCCAGGTCTCCTACAGCCTGGACATCTTCCCGATCACCGGGGTGAGGGGTGCATGGGGACATAGGGTACATATTCTGGCAGTTTGTCTCGTTGATTTCTAGGGACCTGGGACAGGGCTCAGGTGCAGGGCAGAAAGTTGCTGGGGGCTGGAAGGGAAGCAGGAGGTGGGGAAGGAGAAAGCTAGTGTGTCCCTAGCCCATGTCCTCCAGAACCACCGGCTTTCATTTAATGTCCCCCAAAAGGAGAGGACATGAGAGGTGGGGGAGCTGGAGGAGGGCTGGGGAGCCCTGCCAACACTCATCCCTCTCCTCCCAGGTAGGATGGTGATCAGACAGGGCAGTGGCTACTCTGGTTACCTGTTACTCTGTGGGAGTAATGTGGGGGGCACTAGGGCCTGAGAAAATGTGGGGGCAAAGGGATCCAGGTCACCAGGCTTCTGGAAAGATGAGGAGGCTGGGACAACTTTCACAGGGGCAGAGTGGAGGGAAGACCACTGTTGAGGCAGGAGAAGACACCCAAGGGACCCACTGGCTCTTGCCAGCACAAACCCAGAGCCAGACCCCTGGTAGGGGTCGGGGAGATGCCCAGGGACCAAAGCTGCCACGGGTCTATCTTCAAGTGGCTCAGTGAAGGGCCAGTGCCCAGTAACGTTCTCCCCAGCTCTGGCCCCTCTGCCTTCAGTCTGTCCTTCACCCACGAGCCGCCTCCTCTCCGGGGACCCTGCCCACCCCCATAGAGACCACTGCCCTTCTTCTGGGTCCCTGTGCAGGCTGTCAGCTCCTTCCAGAAGCTGGTGTGTGTGAGCTCGCGCGCGGGAGCGCATGCAGGCCCGTGTGTGTGTGTGTGTGTGTGTGTGTGTGTGTGTGTGTGTCAGGGGAGAAGCTGATCGCTAACAAAGAGGAGGGGTGTGTGGGTGAGTCAGCCGTGTTAATGAGAAACAACTCACCCCGCTGATTAGGACTAATGAAGAAGAACAGAGGGGGTGACATCTTTATATAGGGTAGGGGGGAGCAGAACAGCTCCCCCAGTCCCACTTCTCCCTCAGCAAGGACAAGAACAGCAACTTTGGCTTCCGCAGGAAGAATTGAGGTCAGACGCAAGGATGAACCCTCGAGAACAAGGGGGATTCTAATTGGGAAGGGGTGGGACAAGGTGTCTGGGGGCAGAGGCCCGCTCCTGTGGGGGAAATGTGAGAGATCCTCCAGCGCCCTGCTCCTATTCCTGCCCTTCCTCCAGTTTCTCTGTATTGATTCCAGAGAAATTCTGGGCTCTCAGGGCTGTGCTCCCGGGTTGCCCAAGTGCCTCTGAGGTCTAACCACAGCTGCAGGGCCCTGCGGGTGCTGGGGCGGATGCTCCAGTCTCTGCTGCTCCCATGGCAGCCTGGAGAGAAGGCTTTGGTTTGGGGCATTGGCTGTCTATACAGATGGTAATGACCCAGGGAGACCTGGCCAGGTCGAGGGCTGGAGGGGGCCAGAGTGGGGGGAGGACCTGGGCATCAGCTGGCCCTGCCCTTGTGGCAGAGGCAGATGCCCCTGAGAACCCACAGCTTCACCCACCCTCCATGCCAATTGAGCCAAGGGCAAGGGCACCAGGCGTGCCTCGCAGCTGTTCCAGTTGGCTGTGTGAGTGTGGGCATGGGGGGAGGGAGGGGAGAGGCTGGGAGTGGGGACAGGATGGGTGTCGGCCAACACCTCCTAATTTGCATTACCACTGACACCCTTCTTGACCAAGAAAATGGAGCCAGAAATAACAAGGGGGGGAGGTGTTCCCTGGGGGGCTCTTGGAGGTTCTCTTTCCTTGCCTCCAAAACCCCCACAGTGCGGTGAGGAAGGCAGGAGGTCAGGCCTTTTCCAGCCCCATAGCTGGCCCCTCGCAGGGGCAATGCACCTGCTGTCGCTCCTCCTCCCTCAGATGGGGCAGACACCCCATCCCGACCTCCCACTTCCTTTGGCCCACACACCTCAGACGCCCAGTCCTGCCTCAGTCCTTCGGAGCAGCGTCCCCTCAGCCTTCCCTCCTCTGGGAGCCCTCTCCCTGGGGGCCCTCTTGCAGCTCTCATGACCCCAGCTCTGCCTACCCTGTTCTCTTCAGTCTGGGTCCTGCTGCTCTGTCAGATTGGGCACTTCCCAGGGCAGGCCCAACCTGGGAGCTGCTCAAGGGAACATTCTGCACGAGAAATAGTCCAAACATTAGCAGGGGGGCTCGTGAGTAGATTCTAGAAGTGGCGTGAGGTGGACCAGGGTCCAGTGTGAGACCCTGGCCCGAGGGCTATTGGGTGAGAGGGCGCGGGGCCTCCCAGCTCTGTGAGAGGCCTGTGGTCCACCTTTACTTGGAGGCGGTTCCTGCGCCAGGCCTCTCCTTTGTGAGTTCCGTTGAGGAAAGGACCAGGACTGTGCCGTTTAGACACATTTCCTTCCTGACCCGGTGACCACCACATAGACCCCCACAAACGCGTTTGGTGCTCGTGTATGTGCATTGAATTCACGTCTGTCACGGACGGCGTAGAGAATGCTGTGGCAGCCTCAGCCTGCAGGGGGGAGACGGGCCGAGCCAGGAGAAGGAGCTCCCCCTCGGCCAGAGGGGCCCGGGACCGGGAAGAGCCAAGTGGTGAGGGTGGAGGCAGAGCAGAAGGGCCTGGCAGGGAAACCAGGTCGCGAGAGACAGCCCAGAGAGCTGTGAACACGATGTGGGAAGGAGCGAACAGTGAACTGAGAACTCCCCCCCCTTCCCCCCTCCAGAGATGCTATTTTGGAGGGAGAGAATATATGCAGCGCAGGGGGCGGGGGGGGGGGTATGCCCGCTCCCACAGGGGTCAGCCGGACCACCTGCTGCCTCCATTCCTGCCCACCATCCCCACTGGCCCTGGGGCCTCTCCCCGCCTCCAAGCACTGCCTCCCTGTTGGAAAATAGCTTCTTGCTCTCTTGAGCACAAGGGGAGAAAGAACGAGCTAGGGGATCTGCAGCTGGCCTCTTGGCGCCCCATTTGAGAGTCCCCTGAGGCCTCAGACCTAGGGAGAAGCTTCTATTTCCATTGCTTCCCTGGAAAGAAGATGTGGAGGGTACTGTGGGACACGAGGTGAGGTAGGTGCCAAGTACAGCTCAGCGAGCCTGAGCGCCTCTCGCCCCCAAGCCCGTACTTAGGGTCGCCCCATTAACATCAAACTTAGGGAGTGAGTTTGGTGTTAACAGAGGCCAGGTGCTTCCAGGGCCAGCTGCGTTTGCCCACAGGAGCTCTGGCCCCTCTGGGCGGGGAAGCCAATCTTGGCCCCACGGGCCAAGAAGGCTGGACAGAGGTTGGTGTCCAGTAGAGCCCTTGCTTGACATGAAGGGAAATTCCTGTGCCCCAGTTCAACCCCTCTGAGGGGACTTGACTCATTCTGGGATGAAGGCTCCAATGCCCTGTGGGTTTCTGTGGTGGCTGGGGGCAGGGGGCGGA